TGATTATTTTATTGAAAACTGGTTATATTATACATCACTGTATATAATAATAAGCTAATTCTACACAAAATAACTCCGGTTATCACCGAGGAGACATGTGAAACTTACAAGACACCGTTATTCCTAGAACTCATCATTGATAACACTTATAGTAATAAAACCATATTTCACATTTCCAAACAACATTGGTTTGCCTCAATTATAACGTGGTAGAGAAACTTCAAGTCACTGGTCTTTATTCTGCAGTTCGGAAACTCAGAGGTTAAACCCTAACAGGTTCAAATATATCAGTCAATTTATAGACCAATCTACTGGTCATCAATAACTACACATCAGTCTCACCATAATTCAACTACTTGGATGCATGTACAAAATCATTTACAAACTCGTCACACTACAAGGTTGTGTGTATATCATTAAGTGATGAAATATATAATCACACGAGGACTATTCGCACAATTTTATGCATTAGTCAAATCATTTCGGCAACTCGGCGTTACAAATCGAGGAAAGTCAATTTACGTGACAGTGATTGGTTTGACAATGAAAATCCGAAATGTTGCTTCAATGACACTGCATTTTCCCAAAACCATTGATTCAGAAATACTTACTCAATAAACTGGAAAACAGAATGTATAGAACGTGCTTTAAACATCTTTTAAATGATCTCTGTCAATGTTTTTTCACACAAATAATATTTAGTACCCTATTCGAGAGGACAATTATTACACAAATGAATTCTACATCCGTAGAGCGAAATATATTGACACTTTGAAAACTCAATTACACAAATATAACCCGTAAGTTGTCATGATATCTCTGATATAGAAACAATACAAGTTATCACAAATTGTTAATTTTATTATTTAACTGCAAAGATTTGAATATTCTTTAATCAAAATTATCTTATGGATTGATGCCTTCTACTGAATAGAACCCACATTACCATGAACTCAAATTGATTTCGTGGACTGATTTAATGTGTGTTTGGTTCGTGTTTGGACATCTTCCCTCTAAATCTTGTGACGAATATGCTCAATAAAATCTTAGAAATCGGAAGGATATAAAAATTATTTTTCCTAAGCAAACTTTCTGTGCCTTTTTGTGGCCCGTTGATTTGACTCCATTTTGAGTGTACGAATGTTTGCTATCGCCTTTTCTCGTATATCATCGTCGACTTGAATCGCGTTATCCAATAACGGAATTTAATAAGTCGAATAACGAGAATTGACTTGAGAATACATATATTTCTTACATGAAGCGAATGAAGCACAGCAAAGCAAAAATGACACGTATGGAAAATGGCTGGGAAGCCAACTCCATTTTTGTCAAGCGTTACTCAATATTTATAGTCAGACAAAATAAAGCTACAGACATGTGATTAATGGAATAAGAAGGGCACACACATATACGCTCATATAAAAACAGTCTAGATTGATAAGCGAATAAATAACAAGGTCAATGTATGGCTCAAGTAAAATGAATAGAATGGGGTGTCCGAAAGCTCGAATAAGGTATATGGGCTTGGCATAATAACTGACACTACAGCCTTCATTACATTATTCAAGGTGATAATGAAGTAAGAAGATTCCATTCATTTTATAACTCAAAGGACAAATGCTAATTGTCCATTATTACTATTATTATTACAACTACTATTATATCACATAGCATCTTTATATTTTCGTCGTTAGGAGATTTGACACTACTTACTAATGTGAACCCAAATAACAGACTAAAATCTATGTAAAATAGTCACTAATGTTCTAAATCTTTCAAATGACAATCCGTCTACTCCTCTCACTTTTACTTATTATTTTTCAAATAAGTATTTTTTTCGTGATTTCAGATGGTTTATTTAAACCAGGTCAGTAATTTAATGATATTCCATCTGTATATCAGAATCGATATTACCATCAGATAACAAAATAACTAAACCATTTTCTATTATTTACACCTATTGTTTGAACTGACATCATTTATTCAGCATGATTGTTGTATGAATGTACACCATTTCACTTAACAATTTGTTAAATGATTTCAAAGTGCAGTTTTCATTATCCTCACGGCAATTATTTTTAAAAAATATCCCTCACCCTTTAAAAAATATTTGTTTCAACCCAAAATTACAATATTTTTCATCCCGTTTCGTCCAATGAAATGGCTAGTTTTAAAGTTCATTTTTAATTTGTTAGTTATGTTTTGTCGGATTGTTATAAAATATCAGTACTTGTCGACGAAGTACATTTTAATCATCATTATGGAGGAGAGTAACGTGCCTAGTACAAACGCTGTTGTTTCTCACGTAACAGAAATGGAGGAAGTCTTTTTGACAACCTTGTTTCTCGTTGCGTTCCCATCGGTTGAAGCGTTGAAGTCCGCTATCACAAATTATGAAAGATCAACTTACTGTCATTATGTAGTTCGAGATTCGCATTTGTGCAGAGATGAAAACCCGTATTTTAAATTTGTGTGCTGGAGGCATGGCCGTATAACATCTAGCGGTTCGTCACAGCGGATCAGACGGAGGAGGTAATTTTATTATTCTTATTAACATTTTTTATCATGAAGGGCTTCCATGAACACTCAGTGTCCGACCTTCATATATTGTAAGATTATGGACGGCTACTGGACTGTTGTACGTGGAAATGTGCATCACAATCACGAGTGCAGTTCCCTGAGGTACCAAGGTAATTCATGGTGCGACCGAATTCAGTAATCACTATTATCAAATACTCAAACCGATTTTCAGTTCCTTTTTCACTCAACTTTCTTTTAATGTGATGCATATCAGTATTCGTGTCAAGATAACTAACGACTTCAATTCAAGGTATAGTTGATCGGAAATCGAAAATTTATCCTAATACACATTCACTAACAGTAGGATTGCACTTAAGTTGGTGATTTTTTCTTAAAATGTCTAAATTTCTTACAAGACTAAGATTACACAAAAAGATTTATTCACTATCGTTAAATTTCAAATGTAAAAATCAAAATTCTGACATCCAATCACAGCTCCAGATGCGATTTCAATTTCAACTAATCAGATTACAAAGATGAACAGTTTACGACCAATTACAAAATGATTAAAGGTGACCAAATGTTTATTCATTATCACTTGAGCACACACTTGCAAAACGAGTACACCAATCACCGATCAATAAATTTTTCTTTCACACCATACAAGGTTTTAGAAATGGGTGGTAGGGAATCTGAATTGCCGTGGGCTTAATGTCAACCTGTATGTTTTGGTGATCACGTAAATGAAACAAAATTTACCCGAAAAATTGTTAACCCGGTGATTATTTGTTCCCATTCCCTATACTACTGTTACAACTCTCCTACAATCAATTTTTTTGATGTATATTGACGAATAGTCATAGAAACTCAGAGTTGTTTATAAAATAAAATGAAACTTTTTAATGCTGAAACGATTAATATGCAGTGTCAACTTCAACTTGTCCCCTGTATCAAATGAAATTGCAAGGTTAATGACTAAAATGAAAATATATAATCTATGTTGAGCACAATAATAATGTGATACATATAGCCGAACAATATTGTTTTCATTTGGATCTTCATCAAACTTCAATTTAATATACATGGATGTATGAGTTAATAAAAACATTAAACTAATCAAAGCAATTTATGAGTCAATAGTCATAATGAAATAGATTGTACAGTTACACATTAGAAAGTACTGATCAATAGGAAGAATAAAGGTGTACTAGTAGTGATAAAAAAAGAAATGACGAAAGTTCTAGTCAGTAGTTAGACAATGAAAATAGGTCAAGCTTAGATAAATGGACTTTAAAATTGCAATCAACAAACAATTAAAATTGTGTAGTAGAGAGTGTGTAATTATATACATAGTGAAGAAAATAGACGGAAGGAGGTGAAAAGTGATAAACGGATACAGGATGCAAAAAAATCAATGAGATCGTATGTTTAGTGATAACAGGCCAATGATGTGACAGTGGTGTCAGTAAATGCTTCTGAACGCTTATAATAGTACTATACGTTCGGATCCCTTAAGCTTTTACTATTTGTAGGAGACGGAATGGAAGCCCATTAAAAAATAATGAAAGTTCATGATAGATCACTGAAATCGATTAAGATTTATCTACCACACGACTGCTGCGAAGTTCAGACCAGACCATGGAGTAAAACGTTGGATTTATTGTAACTACAGTCTCGGAGTGTATTACAAATAAAATTTTCTTTCACAAATATTTCACTTAAGTTATGAAAATAGAGTGATTATTGTTGTTAATAGTTGTATTATTATTAGTGTTAGTAACAGCAGTTGTAGTGGTTATTGTTGTTGTTAGCTATGAAGATGAACATGTAACTTGGTACCTAGAATTATGTGATTCATAATTTGGTTTTTATTAGTTTCCGTACTTTTAATATTTCGAAATTCACAAAATCATTTTATTCTATAAATCACTGACTAATTGATACTGAGTATTACTCTGTTACCATACACTGAATATCAGACTCGTTTTCGAATACAACATTAGACTGCAGTTGTCCTGATAGTAATTTCATTTTAATACTGATTGTTTGAATCTTCTCATTGATGTTTAGGACTGCAATGTATTGGTTTCTTATTGGCATATGTGCATTTTGTGAGGATCGGCTTGATATTGTCTTAGGTCGTAAGCATTATAAGTAGATCTAGGATGTAGGTTCATCTAACTGACGAGTCCCATATAGAACGAAACGAGTATTCTGGATTCCACTGCTAGACACCATCCATCTTTTATAGTGACTGTTGTATTAGTTTCTGACAAACTCATGGTTTTAGTCTTTCATTCCGATCGATGAAAAACTGGTGATTATCAAACAAATATGCACTGATTTCTGTTTACCCTTCCTTCTACTATTTATTTGTCAACTGTTTACTGAATATGGAAACTAATTATGTTAAAAATGATATGTTAAAAATAATTATCATTTTAATCAGTAATAATCCGTTAATTTTGTTGAATTTCAAGGTGTACTGTTTGATTCAGCTGGTACTAGTCTAACTGGTTTGACTGGTCTTATGTTATCTTCTGTGATAGAAACTAAAACTTCATGTATTATTGATCAATATAGACTTTATGAATTTACCGATTACAAAGTAAGTTTATTAAATTATAGGTATTAACATACGAAAGTATACCTATCTTTTTGTGCAGTCATTGAGCACTTAGAAGTTCGATAATTTAGTATAAAAAGAAAAACACAACAACCTTCATGTGAATTGTATTTAACCTAAAACATTTTGAGATTGTCAAGGAATATACATTTGGTCAGCATTACACAAAACACCAGTTTACTTATTTTGTTAAACTCACGGCAACCCATTTCCAGCCTAGTTGACTCTGGTCACTGTTCTTAACAAGCATATTATGTGTGACCAGATTGTTCGTAATGTATTGCAGTAATATGTCACATCGTTCTGATAATCTTCGTCTTCTTAATACACTAACAAAATTTATCAAAGGGACTAATCGCTTTGAATATATGAACCAAAAAAATATTTATGTTACATAATTCACCTTTTATCGTGAAGATCAAATGTTACGGAACTCACTATTAATGTAATGTGCGTAGTTAACATTATTCATAATGCATGTACACTGTCCAATTAGATGTTTACTATGTACATTGAAAGCCTTGTTTTCTTTTAGTTATTTTACTTAGCTACCATTTTACCCCATAATGGTTTTTGGAAACAATCCAATATCATCTACCCTAACTCTGAATTTCATATAACCCTTATGAATTTACATTGGAACATTCATCTAATACCAAATCATTAGGTAGATTTAATAATCTTAAAATTTCAATACATTTTATGATGAAAGGGATAACGTATGTAATAACTGATTACAAGTTCCTTACAAAGTGATTTATAATGTCTTAATTATGTCCGAGATGATCGACTATTATAGACAATGCTCCATGAAGTTACATGGAGCATTTCAATGTAAAGTCAGAATTATACAAAATGCTTAAATTCAATGTTCACAACATCACATAATACGTTTTTGAATTACTTAATTGATCTAGGCCCTTCAAACCGATACACGAGATGAAATTTTAGCCGATATTGGAGGTTTAAAAGCGTCTTACTATGTAAGTACATTTATGCAACTTATAGGAAATGTATATTAACATGAAACCTTTGAAGTAAAATACCAAACATTTGGATTACTTAAATAGAAACACATAAAACTACAGTACATAGTTTGTCAGTTGAAAAATTAATGCATAAAATTCTGTTTAGTCAGTAAAATATCATAAACGGATTAACATTAAATCGAGGATAAAAAGTATCCTCAATTATTCCTCTGAATAAATCATAAACTTTATGAGGTAGACATATTGATTCATTATGTAATTCAATAGCCCTTTTGGCTTTTTGTGAGGCCGGGTGATGATTATTCAGATCTACCAGAAGTACTACCACCCTCAAGATTACAGGAACATTTCGTCGACTTGTAGAAAATAGAACGGTCAAACAGGGTTTCCTGTATTCTAACTATAACACTTTACATCATAACATAGGGCATCCGACATTGAGTCACTTAGACTAGTAGCCACATAGCAACTTGATCGATAGAATTCGATCAGCAGTAAGATAAAAATTAAATACTTGACATTAATCACTATCCAGTGATCAAGCAATTGTGAGAAAACACTATTAAGCACATTAGCTATGTTGTAACGATGAGTTCGGTTAAGCGATTCTTCTGATTTCAGAAGACATTTAGATGCCTAAAACCGGTTGCTGAGACAGAACAAACAACTGAGTTAGACATGGCATAACTATTTATTGAAGAACAATAATTGGCGACCAACTCCAAATAAATATTGTACAACTAGTTAAGTGAATAATAACACCAAACGTCGAGTCAGATAAAAATTCACAACATCAAATTGTCAATATATTGATTGCACTTTTATATTTGTTTCAGCGCTTTAAAAAATTGGTCACCTCTTAATCAGACTAAAGTTACAGAGATTGGACAAACAGATTTTAAAAGGATATGGCTCAACTATATCAGTGCAAAAACTCCATTAACAATACGTGTTTCGAATGACTGGATTTTGAGTTAGGTCGTCTGCTATTTGAAGTCAGATGTTCCTTTTCTACAGTCAGTGGTTGTTATTCCGAATACAAAAAACAATAGACAAAAACTGACTTTACAATCTTCTATACGGCTAATGATATTGTATTGTCTATCAAGTTTGTAAAGTTCACTGTTATTTTGAAGTGTGAAGATCAATCGTATGATAAAACAAAAAGGAAGTTTTATCTATGTTTCAAAATAATTCATCATTTAGAAAAATGGATTGGATTATATCATAGAGTATGTGAATTAGTTACTATTTAGAGTGAATATTCAATATCTATTCATTGAGTAGAATAGTAGACAACTCAGACCATGAACCTGTCCATTATATAAATATATGTCGAAACCTTTCCCTAAATTCTCATTCAACATCGACAAACAATGTGAAACAATCTGTGTATGTGTTTTGATTGTTGATAGTAAAAAAAACTAAGCTATCAATAATCTTTGAGTTAAGTATTCTCCATTTAAACCATGTATACATTTATAAAATATTCCATTATAACAATAACGCAACCATATTTTAGAAAGACATTAACTCATTTATAATAATCGTTATATTATATAAATTTATTTACATTTCTTAGACGTACAGGCGTTTATATGAGAAGTATTCGAATAGTGTTAATCAAAATTATAATCTCTCTCTTATATCTGATCAGTTGTTCTTTCTCTCATTTGCACAAGCAAGTCACAGTTTTTCTTTCATGTTATAAATCACTACGTTTTATCAAAATGTCTAGAGATATTTACTCTTATATTATACTATTTGTTGTATTTGGAATTTAGTACATATTAGTAATATACATAAGTAATAACGAAATTCCATAGAAAGTTAAGTTACTTATAAGGAACCAGTGCTCATCGTATATTTCGTTCATTTATAATTATTCTGTTACTAAATTTTTGCCTGGAGATTTAATTCACCAACATATTTCAAAGCTGGCATTATTATTTTAGTACACATACACAGTAAACAATAAAAACAGTTTCTTTAGTGTAAATGAAGATGTACGATGGCTAGCAGTGGAATGCAGGAAGTGCGATTCAACCTATTTAGGACTCTTCAGCTGGATGTACCTGTGCCCCATAGTTGATGTTCACTCTGGGACCAATCGCCATAAATACCTTTACGTTTTGTACTTAGTTACTGATAGCTTCTTCAATGCTTATAAATATTTTTACACATTGACTCAAACTACCAAACTCTTTTCCAATTTATTCTATTTACAATCTATCAGATGGGATATAAACCCCATAACAAAATTATTAGGCCTAGGAGACTTATCAATTCACTCTATTTTCAATAAAGCGTCAAAATCAAACGTATTTGTGGATCATTCACTTGCACATGAATTAACATGAAATTCATTTTGAAATTTAGTAGAAGAAAATTCCAACTTGGCAAAATTTCCATCCAGTCTAGTGAAATCAATTAAACAATAGAAACTAACAAATCAATCAAGTTGAAAATGTAGACCAATAAATAAATTGGTAAAGCGACAATTACCAACTAACTCAAATATATTCATTTGAAAACTTCCTGAATTTGATCAAATATCTTAAATATTTATATCATTTTTATACGTGTCCAAACCCATAAGCAATATGGCTATGTAGGGCTGAAGGTCTAATATGAGGCTGGAAGTTCGCCATTGGTATTGTGGATGGTTCGGCATTGTTTTGGCAAGTTTTGCTGACTGTTCATGCACAAAATTGGTTTGCCGGTTAACCGATTTCATTCATACTGGTGGTTGGCTTTCAGTGTTCTCAAGGGCCATTGTCATTGTGACATTGTAAGGCATGTCGTCATTGATGAGTTTGACTGTGGCGTATGCGGAATAGGTCGACTTTGGCCTGTTCGTGCTGTGCACATTTGATTCAGGCGATGTGATGTGAATGTGTATATGAATAGTGCGAATGGTCCACCAGGGTGCTTGGGACCTGTGTGCTGCACTACAGGATTGAGCTGTACTATTCAGATTGTAGCGTTGAAGCCTATACGGTGTCTGGTTCTCCTGAAAAACAATGTAAAATTACCCTGGTCCGCAAGGGTAGATTATATAACTATGAAATATGTATGCCAAAAGTATGATAGGAATGGTGTTCGCTTAAAGTTAACTGTATGATTTTGGGTGCTTGTTGAAATTATAATTAGCAATTTATTAAATATCTCTTTTTAATTACTTTTCAAGTCTCTTTGTGGACATCATAGTGGAACTTCTCTTTTAATACATTCAATAGTTGTTCCACATGTAATAGAAAGATACAGGTGAGCATTGACAGAAATTGAAATTGCATATGAAATGAGTAAATGTTTCATTTATATTATCGTAAAAATATCTAACTAAATGTGTGTAGCAATTATATTTTTTAACTCCGCCTGGATTCCCTCCGGGGGCTACTGCCTGTCCCAAGCCCGGATAAAGGAGGAGGGTTGGGCATGGGGTTAGCGTCCCCATCCCGTAGAAAACTAACTCGCTAAAAAAACGCTAACCAGAAAAAATTATTCAAACCTTTTAAACTCTGCCCTGGGAGTCAGAAGATCTTCATTTAGAAGAATTATGACGCCTCATGATGAAAGCCGAATCCCTTCGGAAGTTACGAGGCCGATGCCCCTTCTGACAACCAGAGCGACCATTTATTTAGGTACATGGAATGTTCGTACAATGTGGGACACCGGAAGAGCCTTCCAGATTGCTGCAGAAATGAGAAGATACAACCTAGAGGTACTTGGGATCAGTGAAACACATTGGACACAAGTTGGACAACAACGACTAACTACAGGAGAGCTCCTGTTATACTCCGGCCATGAAGAAGAAAATGCACCACATACACAAGGAGTTGCATTGATGCTGTCCAAACAAGCGCACAATGCGCTTATAGGATGGGAATCTCATGGACCAAGGACCTTCAAAGCCTCCTTCAAAACAAAGAAAGAGGGCATTTCAATGAACATCATCCAATGCTATGCGCCCACCAACGATTACAATGAAGACGCTAAGGATCATTTCTACGATAGGCTGCAGTCAATAGTCGAGAAGTGCCCAACAAAGGACCTGACCATTCTGATGGGAGATTTCAATGCCAAGGTTTGAACGGACAACACTGGATATGAAGACATCATGGGACGACACGGACTGGGAGAAAGGAACGAAAATGGTGAGAGATTTGCAAACCTATGTGCCTTCAATAAGCTGGTCATAGGTGGCACCATATTCCCACATAGACGCATACACAAAACCACATGGACCTCACCGGATCACACTACACAGAACCAGAGCGACCATATTTGCATCAACAGAAAGTTCAGGAGGACGAAGGAAGACGTGAGAACCAAGAGAGGAGCTGATATAGCATCAGATCATCACTTGCTGGTCGCCAAGATGAAATTGAAACTCAAGAAGCACTGCACAACGGGGCGGACAACATCACAGAAGTTCAATACGGCCTTTCTTCAGGATACTGACAAACTCAACAAATTCAAGATAGTCCTCAGCAATAAGTTCCAGGCCTTTCATGGTCTACTCAATGGAGAAGGAACTACTATGAAAAGCAACTGGAAGGGGATCAAAGAGGCAATCACTTCAACATGTCACGAGGTTCTGGGTCACAAAAGCACCATCACAAGGAATGGATCACTGTTGATACACTGGATAAGATTCAAGAAAGGAGGAACAAGAAGGCAGCAATCAATACCAGTCGAACAAGAGCAGAAAAAGCCAAGGCACAAGCTGAATACACGGAAATAAACAAACAAGTGAAGAGGAGCATCAGAACCGACAAACGTAAATATGTGGAAGATTTAGCAACGACGGCGGAAAAGGCTGCAAGAGAAGGGAACATGAGACAATTGTATGACACAACAAAGAAACTCTCTGGAAATCGCCGTGAACCAGAACGACCAGTGAAAAGCAAGGAAGGCAAGGTAATCACCAACATTGAAGAGCAATGAAACAGGTGGGTAGAACACTTCAAAGAACTGTTGAATCGACCAGCTCCACTGAACCCACCCAACATCGAAGCAGCACCCACGGACCTCCCAATCAATGTTGGCCCACCAACAATTGAAGAAATCAGCATGGCCATCAGACAAATCAAGAGTGGCAAAGCAGCAGGACCGGACAACATCCCAGCAGAGGCACTAAAAGCAGACGTAGCGGCAACTGCACGGATACTCCACATTCTCTTCAATAAGATTTGGGATGAGGAACAAGTACCAAAAGACTGGAAAGAAGGACTCCTGATCAAAATACCGAAGAAAGGCGATCTCAGCAACTGTGATAACTACAGGGGCATCACTCTTCTCTCAACATCGGGAAAAGTTTTCAACAGGGTATTGTTAAATAGGATGAAGGACTGCGTAGACGCCCAACTTCGAGACCAACAGACAGGATTCCGTAAGGATAGATCATGTAAAGACCAAATCGCAACTCTACGGAACATTTTGGAACAATCAATTGAATGGAATTCATCACTCTACATCAACTTCATCGACTACGAAAAGGCATTTGATAGCGTGGACAGAACAACACTATGGAAACTTCTTCGACACTACGGCGTGCCTCAGAAGATAGTCAATATCATACAGAGTTCATATGATGGATTAAACTGCAAAATCTTGCATGGAGGACAGTTGACAAAGTCGTTCGAAGTGAAGACTGGTGTTAGGCAAGGTTGCTTACTCTCACCCTTTCTCTTTCTCCTGGTGATCGACTGGATCATGAAGACGTCAACGTCCGAAGGAAAGCGCGGGAAACAAGGGACATCTAGGATGCAGTTAGACGATCTAGACTACACAGATGATCTGGCCCTTCTATCCCAAACGCAAAAACAGATGCAGGAGAAGACGAACAGTATGGCAGCAGCCTCAGCAGCAGCAGGTTTCAACATACACAAAGGGAAAAGCAGGATTCTTCGATACAACACAGCATGCACCAATCCGGTCACAATTGACGGAGAAGATTTGGAAGATGTAAAAACCTTTACATGTTTGGGCAGCATCATCGATGAACACGGTGGATGTGATGCAGATGTGAAAGCGCGGATCGGCAAAGCAAGAGCAGCATATTTACAACTGAGGAACATCTGGAACTCCAAGCAACTTTCAACCAACACCAAGGTCAGGATTTTCAATACAAATGTCAAGACAGTTCTACTGTATGGGGCAGAAACCTGAAGAACTACGAAAGCCATCATCCAGAAGATACAGGTGTTTATTAACAGTTGTCTAGGCAAAATAATTCGGATCCGTTGGCCGGACACTATTGGCAACAACCTACTGTGGGAGAGAACAAACCAGATCCCAGAGGAGGAAGAAATTAGGAAGAAGCGCTGGAAGTGGATAGGACACACACTGAGGACAGCACCCAACTGCGTAACAAGACAAGCCCTCACATGGAATCCTAAAAGTCAAAGGAAAAGAGGAAGACCAAAGAACACATTACGCCGAGAAATGGAAATAGACATAAGAAAATTGAACAAGAATTGGATGGAGCTAGAAAAGAAGGTCCATGAAAAAGTGGGTTGGAGAATGCTGGTCGGCGGCCTATGCTCCATTAGGAGTAACAGGAATAAGTAAGTAAGTAAGTAAGTAAGTATATTTTGATGACATACATAGCACAATACGTTCAGTGAATTCTAAGAAACTAGTACCCAACGTTGCCATTTTTGAAAGAAAACTATTTATTTCGAATAATGCAGTATATAACGAAGGTTCACAGATATATAGCATTGGATTTTCTATATGAAATCAACCTCATTTTCTTTGAATGCTGTACTTATTTTACTAGACCCACAATACAAATGGCTATAAAACTCATGTAGTATTGAATTCCGATGTTGTTACTTACTTACTTACTTACTTACTTACTTACTTACTTACTTACTTACTTACTTACTTACTTACTTACTCACTCCTGTTACTCCTAATGGAGCATAGGTCGCCAACCAGCATTCTCCAATCACTCTGTCCTGGGCCTTCTTTTCTAGCTCTATCCATTTCTTGTTCATTTCTCGCATATCTATTTCCATTTCTCGGCGTAATGTGTTCTTTGGTCTTCCTCTTTTCCTTTGACTTTTAGGATTCCATGTGAGGGCTTGTCTTGTTACGCAGTTGGGTGCTGTCCTCAGTGTGTGTCCTATCCACTTCCAGCGCTTCTTCCTAATTTCTTCCTCCTCTGGGATCTGGTTTGTTCTCTCCCACAGTAGGTTGTTGCCAATAGTGTCCGGCCAACGGATCCGAATTATTTTGCCTAGACAACTGTTAATAAACACCTGTATCTTCTGGATGATGGCTTTCGTAGTTCTTCAGGTTTCTGCCCCATACAGTAGAACTGTCTTGACATTTGTATTGAAAATCCTGACCTTGGTGTTGGTTGAAAGTTGCTTTGAGTTCCAGATGTTCCTCAGTTGTAAATATGCTGCTCTTGCTTTGCCGATCCGCGCTTTCACATCTGCATCACATCCACCGTGTTCATCGATGATGCTGCCCAAACATGTAAAGGTTTTTACATCTTCCAAATCTTCTCCGTCAATTGTGACCGGATTGGTGCATGCTGTGTTGTATCGAAGAATCCTGCTTTTCCCTTTGTGTATGTTGAAACCTGCTGCTGCTGAGGCTGCTGCCATACTGTTCGTCTTCTCCTGCATCTGTTTTTGCGTTTGGGATAGAAGGGCCAGATCATCTGCGAAGTCTAGATCGTCCAACTGCATCTTAGATGTCCATTGTATCCCGCGCTTTCCTTCAGACGTTGACGTCTTCATGATCCAGTCGATCACCAGGAGAAAGAGAAAGGGTGAGAGTAAGCAACCTTGCCTAACACCGGTCTTCACTTCGAACGACTTTGTCAACTGTCCTCCATGCAAGATTTTGCAGTTTAATCCATCATATGAATTCTGTATGATATTGACTATCTTCTGAGGCACGCCGTAGTGTCGAAGAAGTTTCCATAGTGTTGTTCTGTCCACGCTATCAAATGCCTTTTCGTAGTCGATGAAGTTGATGTAGAGTGATGAATTCCATTCAATTGATTGTTCCAAAATGTTCCGTAGAGTTGCGATTTGGTCTTTACATGATCTATCCTTACGGAATCCTGCCTGTTGGTCTCGAAGTTGGGCGTCTACGCAGTCCTTCATCCTGTTTAACAATACCCTGTTGAAGACTTTTCCCGATATTGAGAGAAGAGTGATGCCCCTGTAGTTATCACAGTTGCTGAGATCGCCTTTCTTCGGTATTTTGATCAGTAGTCCTTCTTTCCAGTCTGTTGGTACTTGTTCCTCATCCCAAATCTTATTGAAGAGAATGTGGAGTATCCGTGCAGTTGCCGCTACGTCTGCTTTTAGTGCCTCTGCTGGGATGTTGTCCGGTCCTGCTGCTTTGCCACTCTTGATTTGTCTGATGGCCATGCTGATTTCTTCAATTGTTGGTGGGCCAACATTGATTGGGAGGTCCGTGGGTGCTGCTTCGATGTTGGGTGGGTTCAGTGGAGCTGGTCGATTCAACAGTTCTTTGAAGTGTTCTACCCACCTGTTTCATTGCTCTTCAATGTTGGTGATTACCTTGCCTTCCTTGCTTTTCACTGGTCGTTCTGGTTCACGGCGATTTCCAGAGAGTTTCTTTGTGTGTCATACATTGCTCATGTTCCTTCTCTTGCAGCCTTTTCCGCCGTCGTTGCTAAATCTTCCACATATTTACGTTTGTCGGTTCTGACGCTCCTCTTCATTTGTTTGTTTACTTCTGTGTATTCAGCTTGTGCTTTGGATTTTTCTGCTCTTGTTCGACTGGTATTGATTGCTGCCTTCTTGTTCCTCCTTTCTTGAATCTTATCCAGTGTATCAACAGTGATCCATTCCTTGTGATGGTGCTTTTGTGACCCAGAACCTCGTGACATGTTGAAGTGATTGCCTCTTTGATCCCCTTCCAGTTGCTTTTCATAGTAGTTCCTTCTCCATTGAGTAGACCATGAAAGGCCTGGAACTTATTGCTGAGGACTATCTTGAATTTGTTGAGTTTGTCAGTATCCTGAAGAAAGGCCGTATTGAACTTCTGTGATGTTGTCCGCCCCGTTGTGCAGTGCTTCTTGAGTTTCAATTTCATCTTGGCGACCAGCAAGTGATGATCTGATGCTATATCAGCTCCTCTCTTGGTTCTCACGTCTTCCTTCGTCCTCCTGAACTTTCTGTTGATGCAAATATGGTCGCTCTGGTTCTGTGTAGTGTGATCCGGTGAGGTCCATGTGGTTTTGTGTATGCGTCTATGTGGGAATATGGTGCCACCTATGACCAGCTTATTGAAGGCACATAGGTTTGCAAATCTCTCACCATTTTCGTTCCTTTCTCCCAGTCCGTGTCGTCCCATGATGTCTTCATATCCAGTGTTGTCCGTTCAAACCTTGGCATTGAAATCTCCCATCAGAATGGTCAGGTCCTTTGTTGGGCACTTCTCGACTATTGACTGCAGCCTATCGTAGAAATGATCCTTAGCGTCTTCATTGTAATCGTTGGTGGGCGCATAGCATTGGATGATGTTCATTGAAATGCCCTCTTTCTTTGTTTTGAAGGAGGCTTTGAAGGTCCTTGGTCCATGAGATTCCCATCCTGTAAGTGCTTGTTTGGACAGCATCAATGCAACTACTTGTGTATGTGGAGCTTTTTCTTCTTCATGGCCGGAGTATAACAGAAATTCTCCTGAAGTTAATCGTTGTTGTCCAATTTGCGTCCAATGTGTTTCACTAATCCCAAGCACCTCTAGGTTGTATCTTCTCATTTCTGCAGCAATTTGGAAGGCTCTGCCGGTGTCCCACATTGTACGAACATTCCATGTACCTAAATAAATGGTTGATCTGGTTGTCATGATGGAGTACAACCCCCCTAATTTACCTTGAATCTTACTACCTTTTCAGAAACTTTTTCATAAAACAGTAATTTCAGCTTGCAATCTTTATAGTATTTCTGTATTTAGTTTACGACTCTACAAACTAACGAGATAATTTTGTTTTTCCTACATTCCAAGAGTATTCGGGGCGTTGATTAATAGCAAAGAATTCGCACATGCATATGGATGTCCAGTTGGTTCACCAATGAATCCTGATACAAAATGCGATATATGGTGAAAGTAATGTGAATTACATATTCGCCGCCTTAAAGATGCTTTGGGACGCTAGAACGTTTGAGTAATTTTTTTGCATCTTCTTAAATAAAGCTTTAAAATACACAATTCTTATCTTCGGTTTTATTTTATGATTCTATTCAATATTCATGTTAAATAGCTATTTATCGGTCACAAAACTTCATATCAGCATAAGAACCTCAGAATTATGAAAATGTTGGATGAGAAAATCTTTGAATGAATTTAACTGATCTACATGTCCGCTCTATTTAACAACAACCGCACATTCTCGTAAAACAAGAATATATTGTTAGTGTTATGAGAACAATGAATGGTCACTTTTGGGATCCATTTATGGACCAATACTAAACGTATATTTTTATCGTACAACTGTTAAGTAACTAAACTATTCATATTCATGTCCCTCTTATTATCAGCTTCGTTTTCACCTATGAACTGTTATTATACGATTTGCCATTCTTGAGTTATACCCAGTCTATCAACTACTATCTCCCATATTCACAGCCACTTTGGGCTAGATCTCGTGCAAATGTTGTTTCGTATTTTATGGTACGATGTGGTCTGTTTGGTTGGTATATAAACCCAGTATGTTTGAAATAAATGATTCATATTTTAGAGGCTGAGATTGGTGTTCTGGACTTAACTGGCTGGGAAGCACGACCGATAAGAATTCTAGACTGCTCGTACTTGTTTTATGCGTCATTTGTCTAATCGATAATTCACTGTTCTCGAACTGGCGGTATCATTACGTTATACATTAATAGGACACAAAGAATAATTAAAACGAAGAAGTAGTGAATAGCTGTCTGGTCTTAGTAGGGAGTCCTGAGCAGTGAACATCCATTATCTCGCCAAAAGTAGGGGCTTCAGTATCGTGCATCAATGCTCAACATCTGGACAGCGAGATAAGCACTTAATTTCGACTATATTGGAAGGTGGATTAATGAGGATATAACATAAATAATCGACATAGTGAATTTCCAAACAATAAAACATATGCTCAATAGTGACTGTCTTCGAGGGGTATATTCTGGAGTTCTAGTGAGAAGTAGTGACCAGTGGAGTTCAACCAGGTCTGTTGTGAGATAGTAACCCACCAAAGACATTGTGGATGTGTCGCTCAACCTCGTGGATTAGTTGAAGTTTGACGTGAACACTGTTGAATGTCGACTCAGAGATCTATAGGTTTGGTGTTCACGCGCGAGACCGAATGCTCTGGGTTCGAATCCCAACGGCGAGATCGTGGATGCCCACCACTGAGGGGTCCCATACCAGGAGAAAACGGCCATCCTGTGCTTCCAGGATTCTCATGGTCCTCTAGGCTTAATCGACACATGAATTCAAATATTAAAAAATGTCAAGGCAAAATAAATTCATAATCTTATGTTGATTTATGACTTTATTACGATCCGTATCGAGAAGAAGATTTGACACTAACGAAACACAGTAATAATACTTCATACATATAAGATATTTGATATGACGGAATTAAAAGGGCACTGAAGCGGTAAATAAATCCCCAAAATAAATAGCTCTGTAAGTTTTCGACATTGGACGCTGACCAGATTAGTTTTAGTGGACTCACCTAGCTGAAGGCGCTCGGTCATGTATCCGCGCCAGATCACGTGTGGCAACGCTGTGCTCAACATCTACCGCAATCGCTAGCCAGATTAGATCAGAGAATTCCTATATATTGGTACTCGCCAAATACACTCTTCCGATCTCCTCGACTCTGTCTTTTGATTTCTCTTGGTGGGTACGAATTATATTAGGTGTTGCTGAAAAAACGTTGTCAAACAATGAATACCTGTGCTATCTTCATTGGTGAGACCGACGTGATCTGGCACACCTAATTGCAACTGTGAGTCTGTTCCTTTTTACGGTTTTTACATATTATTGCCTTATTTTTTAATTTTTATACATCGTGATATTTTTCCCCGTGTCTCAGGATATCTATATATTTTTCCCTCGTATTCTCGTACCTACTATTCCCCTATGACCGAACAGACTCCTAAAGTACTTAAGATTAAGACCATGTCCCCACACTCGTTCCAACGCATGCCCTTCTGGCCCGACAATATCGAAGCTTGGTTCTGCTACGCAGAAGCCGACTTCCACGAGCACGGCGTGATCGACACACGTGCACAATTCCTCGCAGTAGTCAAGGCACTACCGCGCGAATTCAACAGGTACGTAACACCTAGTATGTTTACTAGTGATGTTTCCGATCCTTACGAAATCTTAAAACGCTCGATTCTTAAACGAGGAGACCTAACCGATCGACAAAGGTTAGATCAACTCTTCAACAATATCGACCTGCAACACGGTTCTGCGACGGACATGTTGCAACGGATGAGAGAGGTAATAGGCCCAAGAACGTTCGACGAAAGTCTATTCAAGCAACTCTTCTTGTCAAAACTTCCCCAACAGGTGCAAGCAGTTCTGGTCTCGTTCCAGAACAACGCCTTAGACGAGCTAGCTGCATCTGCCGACCGCATTTTAGAAATTACGAAACCTTCTACTACCGAGGTATTTTCAGTCAAAGAAAAGCCTCAAACGACTCTGAATGACATAACCGAGTTATGTCATACACGTTATTTTAATTTTCGTGACGACCGTAAGCGATAACACACCCCACGTAGAAGCACTTCACGTAAGCGATCTGTCTCTAGACCACGAGAGACGGATAACCCCGACTGGTGCTGGTATCATAACCAGTATGGAAAGCCTTGCACTTTTCCCAACACGAAACCGACTGATTCGAAAAGCAATTCGGGAAACTTCCAAGCCGGCACGCGTTAACGGCAACCGTAGCCGGCGAACAAAGCCGTCTGTTATTCGTCACAGATGTGACAACGAGAGTTCGCTACCTCGTCGACACTGGCGCAGAAGTTAGCGTTCTCCCAGAGAATTCTAACGACTGGATTCACGGATCGGTTTTAAACCTACAGGCGGCAAACGAAAAGCCTATCGCTACGTATGGCAAAAGGTACGTTTACCTTAACGTGGGTTTACGCAAACCCATTCACTGGATCTTCATTGTTGCAGGTGTTTCTATGCCAATCATTGGTATGGACCTTCTACAACACCATAATCTAATCATCGATACGCGCGAACGGGGGCTAGTAGACGGGAACATTAATTTATCCGTTTGCGTAACTTCCTTTACTGGTTGTAGAGTATCCCCAGTCACAGTTAAACATATGATAGACCCACTCTATCAGCCACTTCTCGATAAGTACCCTGGGATACAACAAACTCAACCGAAATTGCCGTGTGTAACCAGCAATGTTACACATCACACCACGACTACAGGACCACCTGTATTCTCTAAAGCACGACGACTAGCCCCCTGTAAAGCTAAGGTTGGCGGAAAACGAGTTCGATCACGTGATAGACTTAGGAATCATACGACCGTCAAACAGCCCAAACATTCCAAAGGTTCATAGATGACGTTTTCCGAGGTCTTAACTTCGTACATGCGTATGTTGACGACTGTCTAATCGCAAGTCAGGGCAGAGAATCGCATCTCCAGCATCTGGATCTGTTTTCGACCGACTATAAAAGCATGGCATTACTGGAAACATTCAGAAATGCCGAATCGGAACTGACTCAGTAGACTTCCTAGGACATACTATAAATGCTCAAGGCATTCGATCCATTAGAACCAAAGTGGCGGCCATTCTGAATTTCCCAGAACCGACCACCGTCAATCAACTACGCACGTTTAACGGCCTTGTAAGTTTCTATAGCTGATTCATACCGAAATGCGCTTTACTCATGAAACCGCTTAACGACCAACTTCGCAGAAATGCGAAATCCATTAATTTGGACGAAAACGCACGAAAAGCATTCTCCACAGTTAAGGAACTGATTGCTAAAGCAACAATGCTCGCACATCAGGACACCCGAGCACCCAATAGTATCGCAGTAGAAGCATCCGACTCAGCAATCGGAGGATCCTTACAACAATGGGTTAACAACTTCTGGCAACCCTTGGCATTTTTCTCTAGAAGGTTGCTAGACACCGAATCAAGGTACAGCACATTCGGTAGGGAACTCCTAGCTCTGTATTGTGCTGTACGGCATTTCCAACACTACATCGAAGGTCGTGAATTCACTCTTTTCACGGACCACAATTCGCTCACGTTCTGTCTAAACTCTCCTTCAGACAGGTACTCTCCCCGTGAGTCTCGACAACTGGACTACATTTCGCAGTTTACTTCAGACATCCAACACATCTCTGAAGCAAACAATGTAGTTGCAGACGCCTTGTCTCGCATAAAATCCTTGAACAGTTTCCGATAAATCGATCTCCTTACGCTCGCCGAGCTTCAAAAAGAAGACACTGATTTTCAGCACGAGTTATCGTCCACAACACTTAAACTACGCATCAAACAGATGGGAAAAGGTAAGGAAACCTTACTTTGTGATACATCTACAGATAAGGATCGTCCAATCGTGACGAAATATTATCGACGCAACGTCTTCAATACGTTGCACAAACTTTCTCATCCAGGTGTTCGTTCAACCAGCAAGCTTATAGCAGAAAGGTTTTGCTGGCCTGGAATGAATAAAGACGTGAGAGAGTGAGCACGCCCCTGTGTAAGCTGCCAAAAATCTAAGGCTATTAGACACAATAAATGTCCCTTTGGCTCATTTAAAACCCCCGATGCTCGTTTCGACCAGATTCAAATGGATGCTCTTATCTCTTAACCTGCGTTGACTGTTTCACTCGATGGCCAGAAGCAGTACCTATCAAGGACATCACTTCTGAATCAGTGGCCTGCGCCTTCGTCGAACGATGGGTAGCAAACTTCGGCTGCCCTTCAACCATCACTACAGACCGCGGACGTCAGTTTGAATCCGAACGTTTCCATTGTCTGACCACACTTTTAGGAATCACTTGCTTCCGAACGGCCGCCTACCACCCACAAGCAAACGGGTTGGTAGAACGCTTCCAACGACAACTAAAAGCTTCAC